AAATAATGTCAAGTTTGATCATCCGTTTATGTAATTTTTATTTTCATTGCATGATTATGCAGAAAGAATAAGGTATCATTTTCTTGTTAATTGTGTGAAATAGCCAGAACAACCGCAGTGATGTGAAGTCGATGTTATCGAAAGCATGGTGTGAAACACACAAATAGTAGATTCTAAATGGTTATGCACAAATTTACTTTAAAAGAACTAGCGTGAAACTGACTTATTATTTGAGAATTTATCTAAATTATTCCAATTATAAATTGGTGATTTAGCTTTATTCGAATTTAATACGCATTTAATTTCTTCCTCCGAATAAAATGGATCGATCTTTGTAAATTTTAATTGGAGATTATTCAATATTATCAAAATCACCCTCTACCAACTTAATTTTTAGTATTTCGTCTGTTTTCCCTTAATTTCATAAAATACTTCTTCCTAGTTACGACTTAGTTGCAGCTGCAGCCGAAACTAAATTTTAAGTTGGTACTTAGCCAGAAAAGTCGAAACTAAGGCGACTATGAATAGCTTTAGTTGTGACTTAGAATAGTTTCGACTTAGTTGAGTACTAAATATGACTATGAATATGCGCCAAGGTGTGTGTATTTCTGAAAAGTAATAAACAGGAAAGGAGTGCCCACAAAGTTAATATTTTACCCAAATTCATAAAAAATTAAGAAATCCAATTTTTTATAAAAATGTCCTGTACAGAGCTATATAAATCTATTTGATTTTTTTTAATAAGGCCACTAGCATGTACGGTTTTTATTAATGAATCTTGTAGCGTCACGTTGTATAAATACCAATGTACATATATACGTTTTGGCTGGCGAAATATGTACTTTTGTCAACTAAGTAAAAAAGCGTATGAGTAAATTTAAGCCCATTAAAAAGTTTTTAAATATTCAATGGCGCAACACAGCAACTGGTTTTGTTACACGAAACCCTTGAACACGTACCTGTCATCTATTTCTTCTGTTTCGACATTTCGCTATTTTGCATTTCTTTCATTTTGACGTCATTCGCATTGTGAAATTTTTGAAATTCGTTTTGGTTCGACATTCTGCTATTTCATAATTCTTTCATTCTCATGTCATCCATCTTCCATTTCTTACCTTCCATTGCCGTTCGCATCGTCGAATGTGCCTGTCAAACACTGCCGCCATCATGCTTTTCAGTTTGGCAGGCACGTCCGCTGTTAGAAAGAGAATAGACAAAAAGGGGCATAGGATTCCATACTTGTAAGTATATACGATGCATATACATAGGGACACGATATCGAACCGAAGGTATCGATATGGTACTCATTTAAAGTATCGCTTTAAAAATATCGGGTACCCATTTATATCGAAGTTGAAAGACTCGATGCCCGTAATATCGATACAAAATTTCAAGAAAAAAATTGGCGCGAGCATATTATGGGGGTATCCGCAAAACCCAGAGCAAAAAATAAATATCCACCGAGAAAAACATAACAGACACAAAATAGATACATATTTTAATTTTCACATACTAAGACATAAACTAATAGTTCCAGAAAATTAATGATTTTAAAACTACTTTCTAATATTATATGTCGGCCGCTGTGGTGCAGAGGTAAACAGTGCGCGGCCGCACTCCGCTGCACCTGGGTTCATGCGCTGGTCAAAGCAACATCGAAAAAAAATATAGAAAAAAGGTTTTTTCTTAACAGCGGTCGTCCCTCGGCAGGCAATGGCAAACCTCCGAGTGCATTTCTGCCATGAAAAACAGCTTGTCATAAAAATACAATCGCCGTTCGGAGTCGGCATAAAACTGTAGGTTCCTCCGATTTGTGTGAAAACATCAAGGCGCACGCCACAAATCGGAGGAGAAGCTCGGTCAAACACTAACATATGTGTAAGCGCCAATCTATTATTATTATTATTAATATTATATGGTTTTGTATAAGTTTTAATATATATATTACCTTGAACCTGAAACAAGAAGAGTACGATAAAGAAACTAATTTTAAATATATTTTATAATAATTCATTTATTGATACGGACTAATGATTACAAATTTTGTTCTTTGTTGTAATATTTGCTCTTTCAAATAAATTGGAGTTGGTGATTTTATTGATTTTCAAAACCAATAAGTTCGAGATTCGCATACTCGAATACATTTTTGTGTTAGGTTTTTCACATTTTTATTGTTGTGCATTGAATTATTTGAAAAAGAAAAATAAGTGCAACATTTTTTCGAGTAGTCTTTCACATACATGCAAACATACAGTCAAAGACAAACGCCTACGCAAGGAGAACTTTTCTCAAAGTGTGCAATGTTTTCCGCAAATTATTTATAATAAATAAGTTCATACTACAACAATAAACATTAAAATGAAATTTCTAAACTTTGTTCAAAACTCAGGAAAATTAAATAAATTTGGAAACAAATTTTCAACTTTCTAATCAGATTTTTTAAGAAAAATTTTGATTATGTAGTTTTGTGGCCCATTAAATTTTGGTGCAACAAACTGCAAGAATAACGCTGTTGAAAAATCTCGTTGGTTATTTCACTTCTTTTTTTTACTGACGGTGTCACGCATTTTTTTTCCATACAAAGTATGTTAGACAATTTTTTTATGTGTAGAAAACTGCACAATTTGAAAAGTTAACGAAAGGAATTTAAAATTTAGGAATTTTAAATTTGCGTTTTATTACTCTAAAACTTAACAGGCTACAAAACTGCATAACCGAAATTTTTCTAAAAATCTGTTTGCAAATTTATTTAATTTTCATGAGTTTTGACGTTCGTCTTTGGCTGTATGTACCTCTGTGGAATTAATTATAAAATAAAGCAAAAAGTACAAACTTTTCGTACGTTAAAACGTTTTTCGTGTTGAATTGTTCCAGTTTATATTGTATCTTAGATACAGACTAAATATAATTTTATGCAAAAAGTTTCTTTGAGGCAAAATTAGTATGAGAAGCTAAATAACAGTCATTAACAATAAGTAGTTACAATATTTTTGTATTTGAAATACAGACTAGACACATTGTTTTTCAGTTCTTCTTAAAAATGTACAGAGCTATCACTGAATCCAGCGTTTTCCGATTTTTCGTGAAAGCTACGAAAATGCTATAGCTGAATTTGAATAGCTACGAAAGTAGTATATATAGCCAGGATCATGAAAATCGGACTACGATGGATGTAGTGCTAGCCCTGGCAGTCTAATATCTTTAATTTTTGTCTAAATATCCTGCTCACAAGCCCCACTCTGCTTCGGCGCAATCCGCCAAAAAAAGTAATTTGTCTAATCTCTTACCCGCCAGTCTATTGCGCGTTTTCGCCATTGTTAAACCCGCTTTGTTGAATAACCGCTCCGACGGTACGGAAGTTGCTGGTACATTAAGATACTTAAGCGCAGTTTTTGACAAAAAAGGGTATTTGTTGCTATTGTCCCTCCAAAAAACTAAGGGGTCAGCGTGTAAGGGTAAAAGCTTGCAACGTATATACTCGTTAATGTTTTCCCCTTGTTGAAGCCCGCGATCTTTTTCTCTGCTAGATGCTAAAGTTCTGATGTGGTTCCAAAAAGGCTATATTTTTAAAACGCGGGTCCAAAACACATGATAATGCCAAAATGTGATTGTCTTCTATATTTTTGAAACGTGTTGTTAATTGGTTATTGAGAAGTGTTTTCATTTTTAGAACTAAATCGCTTGAAGCGTTTTTCAACATTTCATTTCTCATTTGCGCACGCAGAGTTTTAACAATGGGAATGACTTTGCTTACCGTGACAAAATTTTCACCAGAAATTTCTTTTGTGGCGATTTCAAATGGCTTTAAAACATCTAAAATTTCCTCAATCGTTTTTAGCTCTAAAGCTGTTGGCAGATGGGGTGCTTTGGAGTCAAGTAATAAAATTTGGTGTATTACTGGGGCTAGCTCTACATATCTATCCAGCATGTAGTATAAAGAATTCCAGCGTGTTCGCACATCAAGAACTGGTTTTTTTGGCGAATTGCAACTTTGCGCAGAACGAAGCTTGTCGCTGTATACTACACTATTTTTAAAAAATTTAACTACGTTTCTTATTTTTTCTGTAAGCGCACAAAACGGTTCCAGTTTATATACAGTCTCTACAACTAAATTGAACGAATGAGCAAAACAAGATAAATGGCTAGATCTACCCACAAAAGAATTAACGGCTGCCACCATATTTGCGCCATTATCAGTTACCACACAAGTTATTTTGCTTGTTTCCACGTGGAATTTCGCGCAAATTGCTCTCAAGTTTTCTGCTATATAGTCAGCCGTGTGCCGTTCATCCAACTCCTTCGTTTCCAGACATCTGCTCATAATTTTGTTGTTTTCTATATAGTGTGCAGTTACTCCAAGAAAACTTTTCGTGCACATTGTCTCCGTCCATATGTCGCACGTAAGGGCAAATGAAGGCACTTTTTCGAAGGTTTCTATTAACTCATTCAATTTGATTTTATAAATGTCATCCAGTCTCGTCTTCAGGGTGTCTACAGAGCAAATGTTGTAGGCAGGACACAGAAGCTTCAGGAGTTTTTTGAACCCTTCGCCTTTTACAACATCAAATGGTCTTTTGTCTTTACAAATAAAGTATAGCAAATGCTTGCTAATAACTACTTCTTGCGATCCTCCCTCCGCGTATGAAGCTCTACAAACACAAATAATTTAACAGTGAGTACCATTGCGCCTAACATTTTTTTTGAAATATTAAAAAATATTGTGCGTTTATCCCACGCGCGACTAAAGTCAAACTTCTTAAATATAAGACCGCCACATATTGCCAAGTTTTGACTAATTATTTGTTTATTATTTACTTTCAATTATTTTCTTGTAAAAATATAGGTCACTTTATAATAAACACCATGGGCCGTATGCATAAAAACTAAGCAATTGCTTTTACTTAAAATTTCATACTTTTCACTTAAATTTGTTTGAACAAATTTTAGTCTTAATCTTAATTTAAATCTTAATTTTAGTCTTGATATAAGTTATAAGTTTAATCTCAACCTTAATCTTATCCTCCCCAACAAAGGTCACCGTCCTATAACTTCTTCTGTAGCTTTGACGTTTCCTCGCGTTTCGATTTACCGAGCGCAAAGAAGTTTTACTTCAACATTTTCATGAAAACCGTGCCCATTTTATTTGCGATCTCTTGAAATATTACGGGTAAACAGAACAGCAATTTAATACAGTTTAATAAGGTGACCTTTTTCTTTCATACAGTACATTCTCCAGTTTTCCATACAGTCAAAGTCAAAAGACAGCCTACACATTGGTCTAATATAATATTCACAATTATTTTCATAAAACAAATTTTTCATACATTTTTTATGAAAATATAGTTCATTCTTTAACATATGCTTACTTAATATTATAAATCCGAAAGTGAGTTTGTTTGTTTGCTATGCTTTCACGCTTCAACTATTCAACCGATTATCATGAAATTTTGTACACTGCTGTTATTTAGCCCAACTTAACCCTAGAACACACACCCAGAAAATACCACGTAAACACACACCCGGGATACGTTTGTACCCGGGACCTTATTTTGCGGTTTTTTTAATGCTTATTCAACCGATTTCTATGATTTGTATATTTTAATATATAACAAGTATTTTGTCTTTTGTTTCATTCGAATATTCCTACTGGTTCCAGCGATATGGGCAAATAAAGTCAGGACATGCAACAGTGGATTTTTGTTTTTGTTGTTGTCCTGATAAATGCAAAACAAAATAATATAATTTATAATAATATACTTGTAGAGTAACAACGAATACACATTTTGGTTTTTATTTCATTGAAATATTCTAC